AAAGACTGTTCCGACTGATACGCAACACGGGAGGTCGGCGAACTCGTTAGTGAAACAGTTTGTGATAAGAATGGAATCTGAGAGAGTTGGAGGAGACCCAGGCGGGTTAGGCCACAACTGTGTAAACCGGCTGAGTGCATTGCGTTTCGGCTGGTTGTCCAGTGTTGATCCACGCTACTTGATGGAGTAACAGTTAGCCTTGCGGCACAAACCAGAGCGTGGTCGGAGTCCAAGCAGGTAGACCAATACGAACGGCAGTTTTTCGCGCACCCTCAAACACTGACAAACCATTGTTTTCCTGTTCCCGTAATGGCCAAGTCCGTGCGCTGTAAACAGCACTGACCGAACTGCTGCAGTATATACTCGAGCCGTCACGGACAGCCGGATGTCGCGACAGCGGCATAGATGCTTCAGGTTGGTAAATTTCCACCAAGCCTTCCTTATGCGAACTGATGCTACATCCGTGATTCGTCCACCGGGTGAGATGTAGTTGTTTGCGTAACAGAACTTATCCACTTTCTCTCTTTCGTCCTCAATTTAATTGAGCCTTGGTGCTGGACCAACCGAATTTTATAGTGGTATTTTACACTTTGAAGGTGCAAAACGCATACTACATTAGCACTTAAACTATTTTGAAAAGCTTGCAACTTACCTGAATAAAATTGGTGACCCGGAAGTTCCGGGTTCGAACCGCTTCGTTGCTGTCCACTTTCCCCATTTCTTTATTTTCCCGGACAGTCCTTGCATGACCGTAACCGTCTTTCTGATAGTATATATTTTAATAATTAAAAAAGGATGTAAAAAGCCGTTTTTTGTTGTTGCTGCACTAGATGTCTTCTTAACCTTGGTCATCGCGTGTCACTGGGTTGATGGCTGTGAATGCGTTCTCGCTTTTGTTGCGTCATCGCCACGAACGCTAGCTAAGGATATTCAAAACATTGTAAATCAGTCACAACAAACCAATAGTGAGTGTCCAAAAGCGTATCACCTTTATCCTAGTTCTTCCCTGACTGTAACCAATATTGCGCAACTACACACCCGATAAAATCCAACTCGATTTCCTAACTCATTCCATTTGTCTGTCTTGTATACGCAAGGAATTCCTCTCGCAGTGTTTGTCTCCCTCAAATTTACCAAGCCATTTCTCACTGTCTACTAGATGAAGCATCTTTTACATCAGATCGCCCACCTTGGGGGTAACACGGAAGTCATCCATGCGGTTTTTTTAAAGACAGGTTTTTTCCATCTATGCCACTGCTGAGGCATATTGGAAGTTGACATCTTCCAATAACCATGAATGATAACTATTATCCAATCGTCTTCCCACAAAGCAGTAAGATGACCCCTTCTCGGGGTTTTTTTATGTTTTTTATGGGATCTGCTTCTAGCATTAAGCTGTTTCATCAGCATTGTTATACCACGATCCATTTATTCGTGGGTCAATTAATGTAACCCTACTCGAACATCGTTTACCACATCACGTGATACCGTCGAACATGTGAGTTGTTTTTTTTTTGTCTCTTGATTTATGTTATTGTATACCACATTCGTCTGACCAGGAGCGATACCAACCTTTGAAAGTCACAAAGTCTTCATGCTGCGGTTCTGTACTAGGTTCCGTATCTTGCAGACGGCCCTGCATCAGAGATACACCAGTGTTGAGAAATTCTCTAATAGCCGTTCGCTTGAATATGTAACATGGAGAAACAGTTTCCAAACTATTTGGCTGCAATACTCGGAGTGGCATCTGAGTGATTCAACATTTTAAATACATTCTGCTTTTCTCTCGTCGCAAGGCGCTTGCACATTGTCGCACTGAATGATACCGTCTTGAACTGCCAACACCTGTGCCTTCCTCATAAAGGTCATCTATTCAGGGAACAGTGTCATATGTGCATCACACTAGATGGAATTTCATTGGCTGAATGCGACATAGCAAGTTGGTTGGTCCATGATCAATCCGTTCATCGATCAGCGACCAAATGAGCAAGTAGCAAGAGGTGTGTGACATGCCAAGGGGACGACATACATACATAGCAAAGACCTACGGTTGTTCTGGGTTTTCTAGAAAGTGGAAACAAATTGGACAATGCAAATTCTCATAGATGCGACATTGCAAGCGATTAGCTGTACTTTCAAAGTGCATTTTGCAACTGATCTGATCCATTGTTTACCCGTCCCCGTTGAACTTAATCAACTATCCTCTCATTCTCTGATTGGCTTCAGCTCACTCCACTCGGTTCGCTCATGTCCGCCTTCCCATTGGATCCTCGACTATCTCGTGTGATTGTCTCATCTGCCTATTTGGGCTGTTTGGTCGAGGTTCTAAGCATTCTAAGCATGCTCTACGTGAGCCCCGTTTTCTACGTCCCCATGGCTAAACGAGATGAGTTCGGTGAGGTGAGTTTTCCGCAACTCTTATTGTCACCTTAAAAAACAATTAACTTCTTGAATGCCTCGATTTCCATTAGCGTACATATATATATGCAATAATCTTAAAAAAGGACAAACGTTCCATGATTTGTATGTGGGCTGAATGCTGTTAGGTTGGCTAGCCCAAGGCAGGTGAATTTTCTTGATGAATCCACAACCAGAACCTTCGACTAGCCAAAGCCTGACCCGCAAGGTAGCGAGGCGCTGTGTAAAAACTGCAATCCATTGGGGACCGGTGTCCAGTTCATCGGATCCTACGCCTTTCGGACGGGGCCAAACGTCCAAGGTGCCCAATCGAGCCGGTGACCACTGCCACAACCAGAAAGTGTGGTTCGTACGCCTCCTGTTGGTCGTTTC